AAATTCTATTCTCACATTTGTCCATCCTGCTGCCCATACCTTCAATATCATTTTCCAAATCTTGGATAGGCTGATTTGTTGTCACTTACTGCTCTGCCATCTTCCCTCTAATCTAAACTGGTACATTCTTAAAAGACAAAGATTTTCACCATTCGTAATATGCAAAATAATCTACTGTGGAACTAGTGTCAAAGGCCTGGGCTGGAGCCACATATCTGTCATTGCTCCCATGCAAATCTAATTAAAATACCCACAGAAGAATTTTTTACATTTACAAGTGAAGCTGGCCCATCCCTCTAGTTCCAGCTCCTGGGAGGCTGAGGTGGGAGGATCATTGTTCACATGAAATACAGACCAGCTTGTGCAATGTTGTGAGATTTCATATCTAAATCAAATGAAAACAAAAAGGTTTAAGCCAGCAATGGCAATGAAAAAGCTGAATGGCAATAGAGGAGAAATGTCAATAAAATTTTGTATTTATTATAGTGCCAAAACATGTCATAGTCTCTAGAAGAAAACACAAGTGACTGTTTGAAACCTGCTTCTTGATTACTGAACCTAATAGATAGCACACAGATAGTAAGATCCTGCTCTGTATTTCATCTCCAGCTACAGAGTAGAACTTGCTCTTCTCTTTGTTATATTTGCTTTATATTCTTTCTCTTGGGTGTCTTCACTTTTGATGTTGCCTCACTTACTATCCTTCCCTCACCTACACTGCCTTAGACCCCTACTACTTTTATAAGGTTAAAATAAAGAGAAAATATTTCTTCCTATGTACTGTAAATAGCAGGAAATCTCCATTGAATTTAGTTGGTGGCCTGTTTCTTTCTCCTACTAATCTAGTAAGTCCTTTTATTAGTTGCTCTCTGCCATGACTCTATTCCTTGTACCTGATAGGTCTGTTGTAATCACCACCAATAGAATAATCATGTCTGAATATATATACCAAGGAGATTTAAGATATGCACAAGACTCTAGTACCCCACTGTAAAATTTAGTCTTAATCCTCAGAGCACAAATCCTTAACAGAAAATCATAGTTTATGAATCCTAGATCCACTCACCAAATAAACATGGGGCACCTTGTGGACCACTTGTGCTAGTACAGGGACTTCCAAGACAACAGAGTGAGCATGCAGAAGGGGTTATTAGGAAGCCCAGTGCAACCCATTTTGGCATTAAAATGTGCAAGTTTGCAGGGACTGAAGTGGATGGGCTGTGTTTGGGTAGAGGAAGCAATGTGGGCAAAGGCAGGGAGCAGAGGAGGGGCCACATCTGGGGAATCACCACAAACAGTTCTAACATTGAGAACATCTCAAAGGGGATATTTTTAGTTCAGTCACTGACAGAGTATGTTTCAAAATGAAAAACTTTCTGCAAGGTGTCCTGGCTTCTAACCTCTTAATTTCAACAGTATCTTTGTTCAATAGTAGCTGTGTTGGCTGTGGCTGTCCACCTGTGATCTAACTGGGTTTTTCGGGTAGCTACTATCTGCTTAGCAAGCACTGTGCTAGGACCTCAGGGTGTGGTGAGTAATAGGTAAATATCATCCTCTTCCTCTTTTTTTTTTTTTTTTTTTTTTTTTTTTCTTGGTACAGGGATCAAATGCGGGTCCTTGCACTTGCAAGGCAGGTGGTGACACTACTGAGCTAAATCTCTGGCCCTCTTCCTATCTCTCTTAGAGGGGGATTTTTTTATTTTTTGTTTTTTTGAGACAGGGTCTCACTGTGTAGTTGAGACTGACCTGGAACTCACTATGTAGCCCAGACTGGTCTCAAACTCACAGCAATCCTCCTGCCTCAACTTCCTGAGTGCTGGGATTAGAGGTGTGCTCCACCACACCTGGCTCTCTTAAGAGTTTATTAAAAGGAAGTCATGGCTGATTGAAACAAATTTTCCAAAAGGAGATTTCTACAGAATGGAAAGCACAGTGTTTGTGGGAAGCTTAGCAGAAGTGATAAACCTGTTTAGTATGTTCTAGGTAACACCTGAATGCTGAGCTGTAGTCAAATGAGTCAGGTGGGAGAAAACAGGAACAAATGGCAGCTGAAAAAACAGCATGTTCTTTGTTCCAGAGGGAACAGGGAAGAGTAGGCTGGTGAAGACACAGAGAGTAGTGTTATGTTAACTATGACACACATCAAGGAAATGAAGCTGGAGGGAGCAGGTGCAGATCCCCAAGATAATGGGACTTAGAATTTACCTGAAATTTATAGGAAAGTTTCCAGATTTTAAACTGAGGAGCAGCAGGTTCAAAATCAGTTTTAAAAATTCACTGTGGACTAGGCTCTGGGAGAGCTGCTGGCATCCTGACAATAATCCCAATGGTAGGTGATGTTGGGGTATGAAGAGAACTAGAAGGATCAGGACATATGCAGAGTTTAGCACTTTTTGAAGATTAATTTTAAAAGGGGGGAACTACTAGCTTTTGTTTTTTGAATGCTTCTGAAGTGCTAGTACTTAATAAATATCAGAATTCCTACAATGATCTTATAGGTAAATATTATATGCATTTATAGATCAATAATAGGGCTCCCATGAGATAAAGTAGCTTGCCTAAAGAAATATAGATGGGAAGCAGCAGGTAGGTGGATTCAGGTCAAATACATTCTCTCTGTCTCTTTGTCTCTCTCCCTCTCCTCCCTCTCCCCTCCTCTCCCCTCCCAGTCACTCTCCTTCTCTCTCTGTGGAAAATGCCAGGGATGGAACACAGAGCAGAGCTTCACATGTGCTAGACAAGTGCTCTACCACTGAGCTCACCATTTGCCCTTTACAGTACACTCAAAAGTGGAAAATCTGTTCTGTTGAAAGTGATACTTTTGCAGAAGAGATAAATACAGTATTCTCACTTATTCATGAGGGATACTTTCCATGAACTGTAATGTATATCCTAAACTAAAAGTAACATTGAATTCTGTGTATATTGTCTTTTCTGTATACATACCTGAATATATGATAGTTTCATTTTTGAGTTAGTCATCACAAGGGATTAACAACAAATAACAGTAAAATACTAAAATAGCTATAAGTAAGTACAACAGGGATACTTGAACATAAACTCCTAGCACCACTCACTGTCAGTCTGACAATGCAGTTAGCTATTAAGTGACTACTGAGCAAGTAACATTTACAGTGTTGATGCCCTGCACAGACATCAGTTTTGTCCTCAGTGAGAAAGAGCAGGATAATGAAAAGTTCTATTGCACCATTTAGTATGCTGTGTAGCTTAAAACTTCCACGAATTGTTTATTTCTGCTTTGATATTTTCAGATCTTTTGGACCATGGATAACTGAAAATAGTGAAATTATGCATATTTACTGTTAATAAATAAGTAAACTTTGTAATATGTTAAATGGTTATAGACTTAGCCAGGGACATGTGCACATTTAGAAAAGGTATAGCAGAGAAAGCACCAGCAAAGAGGATGAAGGAGGAACATTCAGTGAGGTGAGAGGTAGTCAGAGGCAGAGGGACATAAGTTTCTAGAAGCAGGAAGTGGTACCCAGGTCAAATGCTAAGAGGTCAAGAGAGCCGAGCCAGAGATGATCACTGGATTTGCACCACGGAGTCACAGGAGACAGCATGGGCAAGCAGTTGAAGCAGGGTGAAGACAGAAGTAAGATTAGAACGGGTTAGAGAGAAAGGGAGGTGAGGAGGTGGAGAGGATTGAGTACTGACTTTTCCCCAACAGTCTTGCTGCAAAGGAAACAAAAGATACAGTCATAATTGGAGGGTTACGTGACTGGGAGGGGAAAGGTTGGTATGAAGTTTTCGCCTTTCTTTCAGTGAAATATGCAGTCAGATATCTGTTGAGAGCTGAGGAAAGAGGAGGATGAGGGGGCCAGAGAGAGGTTGGACATGTGTGCTGGGGCTTCGAACAGAAGGGGAAATATAAGATACCATAGTCGTTTTGGAGACTGGAGACCCTGAAAAGAAGGATTGAAGATGGCCAGGCAGGCTGGAGGACCCACATGAGATTCATTGTTAAGCATTTCCAGTGAGGTTTGTCTGCACACTTGTAGAGTTTTCTCCATCAATATCCAGCTGTTTCTGTGCAGGATATAAAAGATGTTAACAATACCAGGTCCTTTTAATTTATTTTTGAAATATACATACAATTTTTTCTCCTGAGATACAAAGACAGACAAAGTATGTATTGCAAATTCTTTAATGATAATATTTGCATTTTCACAAAATGCACAGTAACCCTATGGTTAATTAGTAATGAAAGCTCATCTGTCTCAGATCCAGTTAAAATACATGTGTTTCAGTTAAGAAAATGGGGAAGAGCAAAAACTCATTTAATCTCTTCGGAATGCCTTCATGATCAGAAAGAAGTAAGCATTCCTTCAAGCTTTAAAACAGATTGATGCAAATTGTGAATCCAATGTTAAAGCTGTACAAACACAAGATTTCTAAGAGAATACTCGAACTCAGTGTCACACTTTGATCTGCTTGTTTTCAAAGGGTTGAATTTGTGGCTTAGTGCTGAAAGTCTTGTTCAGTATGGGCAAGGCCCTGTGTCTGATCCCCAGAATCACATACATACAGATGAAAGGGATTCTTCATTCACTCAGTCTGTATTCTGAGCAATTTGGCATTCTGCTACTTTCAAGATTGATACGGCCCAACATAATGTATATTTTTACTGCTTTAGGAGATGACAGAAAAGGTGAAGGCATCAGATGAAGGATGACAGAACCAGTGAAGGCAAAGATGAAATTCTGCCAAAGTTCATTTGTTCTCAGGTAGCATTTTGTCATTTTTTTGATCCTTTATTTTATTTATATTTTATTATTTTGGTACCAGGGATTGAACTTGGGTCCTTGTGCTGGTGAGGCAGGCAGTGGAACCACTGATCTAAATCCCCAGCCCTTTTTTATCCTTTATTGGGGACTACACTAAATCTGTGTTTTTTTCTTGATGAAGGACTGAATGTATTGCAGATGTATTTGAGAATCAAGGGTTTAGATGAATTTTCACTAGTGTTAGTTCTATTAGCAAACTGAAAAATGTTAATATCAAATGACAAACACATTAATGAACATCAAGGCTCTGAGAAGAAAGGATATATTTTGCTTTTGCTGCTGTAAAGATTCTTTTTATTTGAAGGGAAACAACGGTGCTGTTACCTTTCGCTTAACTATCACTCCCTTCACATGAAAAAGAGACAACATGAGCTCAAGAAGGAAAAATTTGCAGTTACACTCCACAGTCACGCACGTACTGAGTGAGATCACGGTGTTGACAATGATTTCTCCATCCCTCCCTGTAGAGAAAGTGAAACACACAGAAAAGAGATTGAAACATGTCTTCATTGTAATACACATATATCAAATCCATTGGGGCAACAAAATATTTTATCAATAAGTAAAAGGTAGGCTATAGCCAGGCTGAGGTGTTGCTATGTGAGTAGAGATATGCACTCAATTACTTTGCTTCTCCCCAAAGCCTCAGTAGAGCACAGAATGCTGGACACAATATTTGGTTGTATTCAGTAAATGTTATATAGTATGTTTACTTATGTTACAAATACTTTCATGATATAGGGAATTATTGGGGTGTGGAGAATCTTAAAAACTCCAGAAAACCCTAAAATTGTTGAGGAGTGAAAGAGAAGGTACTGAATCAGTTAAAAGTAGACTATTGTTGATGGACAAAAGTAATGCTTTGTTTCACATAAGCCAAAAACTGCAAGTCAGTTCTCAGGTTGCTTTGGTCTTTTCTCGCTATGTACATCAGGGTTGACACAGGCAGCTTTCCCCCATTAACACGTAAACCTACCACGCTCTAATGCCTTGTGGGTCTGTCACAACCCTCTTTGCACAAGTCACAGCTTGAGTGATGTCATCTTGCAACAAGGCTGAAAGAGAGATGATGAGCAATGAAAATGACTGTCATAGGAATTTCATTTTAAATTTAGAGTTACCCATCTTAGGCTAATAGAACTATCCATTCTATGTCATTTGACATGAAATCAAGTATCCTGCTTCTCATTTGCTAAAGTCATCAGAAGCTCTGGAATTATTAACTAATATGATGGGAGGTCATCTTTGTGCACCACACTGTTAAAAAATTTGCCTAATAATATTTTACTCACCAATTCTACATTAACATTGTATCTGAAGGAAACTTAAGAAATGTACCCAAACATGAATGTCTAAAGGTCTCCATAGCAAATTTATAAAGGGTAGAAAAAAATGGAAAAATTTAAGTGCTTAATAGAATTGGAGCAATAAATTAGAGAATATTCATATAGCAGAATTCTGTTCACTCTTTTAAATGATAATGTGGATTTGTATTTGTTGATATGGACAATAATTTTCTATGAAAAGCAAACGGTAAAGCAGTATATGTAATAAAATTTAATTTCTGTAAAAACACAATTTGGTTACATGTTTGTGTTTGGGTACATATGGGCCTGATGTAACATGTATACATGATTATTATACATTCTGGAAGAAAGTACGCCAAAAGTTACCAATGGTTATTTCTCTTGGAAGTAAGATTATAGGCACTATTTTTTTTTCTGCTTATGTTTTAAAAATTTTTATTCAATGATGATATATTATTATATGATAGAAAATATTTTAAAAGTAAACTAAGTAGATTAAAAAAGAATATTCTGAATATAATCTTTTCTACTGAGAATTTTATTATTTAAAAATTTAACAACATCAATTTATAGGATCTATGCACTATCTCCTGCACTATTTAACATTATTTAATTTTAATATGAGTTCAGGAGTCTAGTATTCCCCCGCCATTGTCACAAAATAAAGTATATGTTCTTTTTCTAGGAAGAAAGTGAGTTTCACCCCAAATATATAAACCTGTAAGTTAATTTATTGCGATAATTATTACGTTGGACCTGTACTTTTGGAGCTGCAAACTAAAGAATTTAGAAATAAAATATCAGAATGTTTCTAACTCACTTTAAAATAAAAATATACATGTGTAGTACATAAACACACATATGTATACTTTATATAGAGAGAAAGCAATATGGCAAAATGTTAATAGCTGTTAAGTGTACACATATATTGCTGTTTATTCTATTTTTTGTATATTTAGAAAAGCTTATAATAAAAGGTAAAACAATCAAAAAAGGATCAGACAGGCCCAGGGATTTAACTCAGTGGCGGTGCACCTGCCTTGAAAGCGCAAGGTCCTGAGTCGGGTCCCCGGTACTGAAAAAAAAGGATCAGACAACCAAATTATGCCTAAACTACTCCTAATAAAAGGACATTGTTCTGAACAAAGCATCAATAAGGTCATTTAGATTAAATTAATAAGCAATTTCAGAATTTTCTGTATATTTAAAGTCACAGCCATTTTACATTAGCTTCTTATTTTTATTTATTTTTTATTTTTATTTTTTTGCCCTGCTGAGGTTGGAACCAGGAACTCCCGCATGATAATCCAGGCTCTGTGCTTGCCGTCAGTCGCTGGCTTTGACTTTCTATTCTCTGTTACCAGATGGGCCCTTCCCTACCCCGCAGTACCACCTTGTCTTACCGCTGCAGGGTATACCGCAACCATTAACAGCTCTTGGGGTTTTGCCATCATTGCACCAGTAGCGGCTATTGATCTGGAATATCCCATAGTCAGTGCTTTTGTCTCCAGGGTTGTAGTCTGTAGCTCGTGTGTTATAACTACTCTCCCACTTGGCCAAACACACCCCTGAAAAGGAATTACTTTTAGTAATAAACAGCAATACTAAATGATTTGTACTGTATCCCCACATCAGTCCTATTTAATTACTTCTAATTTGCTAGCGATGTAGAAGGATATATTTAATTCATATACTGTTTAACATTTTATTTAGTTCTTGCTGAATAGCTCTCCAGGGCTGAAATGACCCCCCTGTTTCAGGCCCCTAAGAACCTGGGATTGTGGGTACCAATCCACCTGTCCCACCAACGTCTTAGCTTCAAGGAGCCTCTAAGGGAATTGTTCTGTGATGCAACAGTGTGTAACACTAACAAAGCAAGATAAAGTACTTTTTAAAATGTTAAAATAGCTGTTTCCTCCATTACTTTAACTCTTCCTCTGATCTCATCGCTCAGGTAATATTCGGCTTAGAGTAAAAAAAAAAACAGTAGAGTTGATAGATTTAATAAATTTATAGCAGGTACATATGGTGATGAAAAACAATGCCTTTTTTTTCAACACCGACTTCACCTATTGTACATAAGCTCTCTAATGCTGAGCTACGCCCTAGTCCTTTTTATTTTAATGTGAGACAAGGTTTTGCTAAATTGCCCAGGCTGGCTTTGAATTTGCTATCCTACTGTTAGTAGCTGTGATTACAAGCATGCACTGTAATGCCCACGGAAAAATGATTTTATTACAAACAATAAAGATTTTTCTGAGAGAGAGAAATTATAATACCTAAAGGTGAATTTGGATGTCAAATTAGAATCCTGAAGACAAAGACTACAGAATAGAAAAGGTTATTCTGTGATTTTTACCCATATATTCATCTATTTACTCACTTATCCATTCAAAAATAGTCACCAATGGAAAATGCTTAACTATAATCTGAAAAGTATAGCAATAACATTGACAAATATAGAGTAAGCTGTAAAGTAACATTTCCTTGTGATACAACTTGAATTGTGGAGAAGAAAATGAAAAATATTTAAGTCAACCTAGAGTGAGTCAGAGTAATAAAACACTTCATGATAAATTTCAGAGTTCCTTATATAACACTGTCTTGGGAAACAGCTTCTATTGCCAACTTTTGAGCATTCAATGTAATTTTTAAAATTTTGCTCTGGAAGCTGGAGATTTAGCTCAGTGGCATTGCATCTGCTTTTCAAGCACAAGGTCCTGAGTTCAATCCCCAGTACAAAAAAAAAAAAAAATTTTTTTTTTGCTCTGGAGTCAGGTGTGGTGCCACATACCTGCAATCCCAACACTCAGGATGCCGAGGCAGGAGGGTTGCCATAAGCTCGAGGCCAGCCTGGGCTACATAATGAGACCCTGGAGATAAAAAATGAGAGAGGGAGAGGGAGAGGAAGGAAGGAAGGACAGACGGATGGAAGGAGGAAGAAGGAAAGGAAGGAAGAAAAGCTTTGCTCTGAAAGTTCTGTCATGGCTGGGAAATTTAAGAAAAAAATACTTTGCCACTCCATGTTCTATGCCACCCCATGCTCTCAGAGCCCATGTTCCAGACAGTCCTTCCAACATATCTTTTACTCAGTCTATTGGGCCTTTGAGTCCAAGTAACAGAACAATCTAGTAACTGGGGGAGGACAGCAAGTCCTGTGTAAGGTAGAATGTGTGGCATGTCTCCCTCTCATGTCCCAAGTCCTTCATCTGGAATCTCTGATTCTGAAGGACCAAACTGATATTTTCACACTGTTAAGTATTCAGACTCACAAAGACAGGAGTGCATGTATTCACTCAAAGCTCTTCCGACCATCCATTTCCCCCTGGTATCTGTTCCCTACGTGGATAATTGTTTGGAGGTAGGAAGGAGAGGGGACTTACAGTTTGGCAGGCTGATTCCCCAGTAGCCATCCATTCCAAATCTCTTCAGAGTTCTGGCCAACTCGCACCTTTCAAAGACCTTCCCATGGGTGGTGACAGAAAGGAGGAGAAGCCCCAGAATAAGGAGAGCCTTCATGTCAACTGGGGAGGCAGACCGCTGGGCTGTGTAGGGTAAGTCAGCCACAGTATTTAAAGTGTTTTAACTTCTTTTTTTTCTCCTCTGGTGGTTTGGAGGCCCCACCTTCTGAGCTGTGTGCAAAGCAAGAAGCACTTATTGATTTGCCATTTCAAAAGGGCACAGCTTTTTTGGGGGGGATATTTCTTTCTTTCTTTTTTAATGTATGAAGAGTGATGCTCTGAAGCTGTGCGTGGTGGTACACACCTGCACTCAGCTACTTGGGAAGCTGAGACAGGAAGGTCACAAATTTGGGGCCACCCTGGAATAAGAAAATATTTACTTGCCATCCAGAGTCAAACCAGGGAGACAAAACACATAATCTCAACCGGAGGCATATCTCAGTGGTACAGCAATCACCTAGTGTGCTTTAGGTGGGCAGTTCAAGCCCAAGCACAGGGGAAAAAATTTCTCAGGCAGGAACCAGTAGGATTCCTTGTTGTGGCCAACGGCAGAAGGACTAAAGAACACTTACAGATACCAACATTTGGGCACAACAGTAAAGCAGCCAGTTTTGCAGTTTTGCAAAATTACTTGTCATATGGCTCACCCTGACTCACCACAAATTTTCCATGCAGCTCCTTAGGGTTTAAGCTTTACAAACAATCAATCAAGATCACCAGGCACTCGATGAGAGCCAGTTATGTGAAAGACAAAAATCAGAATTTATAGAAGAGGAACTCAGAGGACACAGCAGCAACACAAAATAAAATCTAAATGATAATGAACATTTCAGAGAGACAAGAGAAATATCACATCCATGGAGCAAGCTAGGATGCTATTATAAGAGATAATCAGAAAATAAAAAAACAGCTGTTGGTATTAATCACTAAGATTCCATTAATAACACATTGAATAGAAGAGTTAAGAGGTACCTTGCATCTCACTACTATCTGGGCCAAGGATAATCCGCAAGGCCTGATAGAGGGCATGTAGAGGCTTGGGAGGGTGGACACTAACCGCCTTGCCTTGGGAGTGGACAAGCTCAGAATAGACACTTCCTGCCTTTTCCTGACTGTGTCAGGTTGGGCAGTGACCACTGTATGAACATTTCAGGCAAGCTGTGGCAGACTGGAATTCTGAGGTCTCCCCAGATTCCCTGACTTTAAATTATCTTGGCACTCTTGGAAGCTCCTAGACAGGGAATCTGCCAAAAAAAAAAAAAAAAAAAAAAAAAAAAAAAAAAAAAAAAAAAAAAAAAAAAAAAAAAAAAAAAAAAAAAAAAAAAAAAAAAAAAAAAAAAAAAAAAAAATGTTATTGGGCTGCTGATTTAGCTCAGTGGTGCCATCGATGGTCTCACAAGCACAAGGTCCTGAGTTCAATCCCCAGTACCTCCAAAAAAGTTTTCAAAACACTATTATGGCTTTGCCATTCTTGGAGAAGTGGAGCTCAGAAGCAAATTTTATTTGATTTAGAAAACTAAAGCAAGTATTGTTTCTTATATCCATGCAATTTGATCTAGATTCACTTACTCTATTAAGAATAAGCTGAGCATGGTGGTGCACACCTGTAATCCCAGCACTCAGGAGGCCGAGGCAGGAAAATCATTGGGAGTTCAAGGCCAACCTGGGCAACATAATGAGTTCCGGGCCAGCCTGAACTACACCGTGAGACCCCATCTCACCATGCATCTCCACCTCCCAAAAAAGAATAAGTTGGAAAGTGGGAAGTGAGACAGTACATGGGAGTATTGAGGATTAAACTGTTTTCATAAAAATAGCTCTTGGGCTTCAAGGATTCAATCTCATCAGCCCTCAAGCGTGTCAGTTCCCAACACACTTGTGCTCACTTCAGCAGCACACATACACAATACACTAGGTGTATAGTTCACAATCTTGTTTCGCTATAACTTAAGCCATCCTTATATTTTTCTGTCCTGCAGTTCTGCTTTCTTTGTAATAATTACAATCTTCTTGAGTCAGTATTTGAGGGATATGAAAATCTACATTAAAAAGCCTCAGTAAGTCACTGTTGCAGGTAAATTAAAGTTACTTGTGCTGATGGAAGGAAGCAATGTTATGCATTTTGTGCAAAGGCATCAGTATACTCTTGCCAGTGGGGCAGCATTGCTTCCTAAAGCTACTGAGGCCCTTGAGAGCCCATGGTGAGGCAGCAGAATCCACTCCTGATGCAGCTGATGCTTCTGTGTGTCTAGGGGTACAGAGGAGTTCATCTCACGTGTGTCATGGCAGCATGATTGCTAGGAGAATCCGAATGGTTTTGAGCAGGTGGGATGGCACCTTCTGGCCCTCCAGAGAAGACCAGATGTTGGCGTTGAGCAAAGCAATTCCTGTCTCCATTCGTGGAGCTGCCTTGTGTGTACAGCCTGTATAACAGGACTGATACTCAAGGAGCTGGTCCCTGCAGGTGTCAGGGTAACGTCCCATGGCACATTCCCTGTCTCAGAACAGGGCTTGATGCACTTCCACAGTGGCATTTTGTTTGCCCCAGAAGTGCAAACGTTGCTCATAAATGCCTCATAATTTGTGTTGATAAAATCCAGACCAGTGTATTTTTTCTTCAAGGAGTAATGAATACTTTGTTTTAGTGCTGAATATCTGTAAATTAAGCTCTTTCTCATTGAAAGTTAGAACCAACAACACAATTTCTTTAGTGATTTTTCTGATTTCCAAACTATCTTCTAGTTTTAATTCATGTTATGGTTTGCTATTGCTGTTGCCTTTTGAGTCAGTATTTGAATAATACTGATAGAAAATAATGGAATTCAACATTCACCAGAGGGCCGGGTAAAGGAATTATTTGTGCTATGGTACCCATCGGGTGCTGTACTATATAGCAAGGTCCACAGTGACTGTGTATGAAACCTGTTGATTGATTACTGAGCTTAACAAATAGGCCTCATCTAGTAAGTCCCTGCTGTGCATTTCACCTACTTTAATCCATTACAGCACAAATCACTCAACCAGAAACTCAGTGTTACATCAATCTGGGATTCATTCATTTACCAGACAAAAACTGAGCACCAACTTGTCCACTTTGTGCAAGGTACAGGGAATTCTAAGAGAACAGAGTGAGCCTGGCAGAGGAGTCATGAGGAGGACAGTGAGAAATATTTAAGTCTTTAACAGCTGCAAGCCATCCAGAGGACTGCAGGGAGTTGTTGAGAGTGGGTAGCTATGTTCTAGGTAGAGCAAGCCACACACAAACAAAGGCAGGGAGCAGATGGAGGGACCACAGCTGGAGGAATCTTCCCAAAACAGTTTAAAGTAAAGAGCATCTCCTAAAAAGGGACAAGCTCCTGACACTCTTGGAAGTATGCTTAGGGTTTTAAAACACCTTTGCGAGAGGCTTCCTGGCTTTTATGCTCTTGTGGTAGTTTTAACACTTGTCCAACAGGAGCTGTCTTTGCCACGTACCATTCTCCCATGATTTATTGGGAGCTAAGTGTTTCATGGAGTTTCTCTGGGAGCTACTGTCTGCTAGACAAGCAGACATCAGTTTTGGCTTCTTAGAGTTTATTGAAGCTAAATCATGCTGACTAAAAATAAATTTTAAGTGTGGGGATTTCTACAGAACAAGAAGCACAGTGTATAGGAAAAACATTACCAACAGTGACATGCCAGAGTGGGAGGTCAGCTACAGCTTGATGATGAGCTATAGTTATTCAAATGAGACGGGTGGAAAGGATACTGGGACAGGCTGGAGCTAGAACAGCATGTTATTTTTTTCCCAGAGGGAAAAGCTAAGAGTAGGCTGATGAAGATGAGGGAAAAGGTGTCTATAAAATCTATCAGAAGGAATTAGGTTAGAGGGAGAAAGGTCAGACCCAGGTGCTTAATCCCCCAAACATTGAGATGTACAACTTAATCTTGAAGAAGATGAGATTCTTTTCATGAATAGTGGTAAGTTGGAAAGCATGAGGCACAAAATCATCTTTAGACATCACTGTAGCATGGACTTAGCTAGAAACCTGACAAAAAATCCAAATGGCGGATGATGTTGGGGTATGGAGAGAACTGAGGGGATTAAGAAATACGTAGAAAATTGAATTATCACAGCTTTTTATCCAGATTCTTTGAAGATAATGAAAAAAGAAAAAGCAAATGCATTTGCTTCTGTTTATTGAATGCTTCTAAAGTGCTAGTTGAGGTAGGATAAAAGAAATAAATTAGGTAAAAAGGAGACAAGGGAAATCATAATTAGAAATTATACTTTTAAAAACTACAACTTGCCAGGGATTTAGCTCAGTGGTTCGGTGGCCTCCTTTGCAAGCACAAGGACCCAAGTTCAATCCCTGGTACCAATCAATCAATCAATCAATAGAAACTACAACTTTCAAAAGTTAGTTGAAATTACCCAAGAGAATCCACATTAGCATCCATCCCCTTGTTTAAATTTTGGCTTATTTCCTCCCAGATCCATCATGCACAAGCTTCTTTTAGAATACTGTAAGTGCTCAAATTGGCTTAGTTGAGAAAGTAAAGATCAGGAATCTGATCCTAAGATAAGGGAACACATTGTGAAAATCCAAAGTATGTTTAAATTACACCTCTTTAAAATAAAACTGAGATTATACCTATAAAGTAGGCTAATACCTTTCTAGGTGTGGGTCACCTTTTCCTGAGGCTTCCACCCTCATAAGTATCCCAGTTCCAGGAAATAATGTGCCTCTGTCTCTCTGGAGGGCCTGTGACAATCAGAAACTCACAGCAGTATGATTTACTTGAGATAGAGGTGTTGGAAAAATTACCACAAAATTAAAAATCATTGTAATATAAGCATGAAAAGCAAAATTTTCATGGAAAACAAAATTTTGTGCAAATCATAATATTGACTTCAACATGAAAGCAACTAGGCAAAACTATGTACTTAAAATAATATACAATTATGCTGGGATATAGGCAGGTGTGTTGTCAGGATATGAAAAACACAATATTGCTAATATACATGTTGTGTGAAAACAATTGACTTTTCTCAAAAACATATTCACAAGATTTGCTCCATCAAATATAATATAGCATCAAATACAAAAATATCTTGTTACATAGAATATGGAATGTATATAC